TTTTTTTTGCCTTTTTCTAAATTGCTTTCGTTACTCGGAGAAGGTGACGACTGAAATTTTGAAGATAGATTTTCATTTGATGCTACGAGATTGACTCATATTCAGTCAAAAAATGTGGTTGTGAGTGTCTTCTTTTTTGCCAACATCTGCAATTAAATCTAATATTCCACTTTCTTACATCTGTGTGACGACGATGTGACCATTCAGGCACGCTATGGATACGAATTCTTTTAGGGTTTTCTTAATCTTAATGAGCCTTACTCACAGCCAAAAGAAAGATGGAGATCGAACCGCGTCCAACAGTTAGATATATTCCCTCGTAAGACTTTTACGAAAATTGTGAGAAGACAGTGAATACAACTCAATATAGAAGTAATCAATAAAAAAAAATTTTTTTTCATGATCACATGGAATTATATCAGTTGATTCAAGGTATAGACTAATAATCAATAAGTATATTGAATATATTCTATTACTTTGAGTATATGACAAGAATACTTTAATCTTAAGTTATGTTTTCTTTTCTGCAATTATAATTACAAATCCAAAAGAACTACGTATCTTAACCTATCATCGTAAAAATTTTTGCTTATTCTAATCTAAATTAGAACAATCTATTATTAAAATATCATTAACAATTCTAAGAAGATAACAATCGATGATTAATATGAAATTTATCTAAGTTAATATTCAAAAAAGAGAATGTTCTGTTTCATTCTCAATACATTGTACATTTGTCGAATAATCACATTGATCAGTAAGAACATTATATCGAAGTGATAAAGGACAATTTCGACTTAATAATATACCATTTTTATTTGGTCCATCTAAATTTTATAGATCAGAAAAAAAATACAGATTAAAAAAATTCCTACCATATCCATAATGAATACATTCAAAATATTTTCCTTTAGCACAATTATATTGATAAGTAAAACGACCATTTAATTGACATCGAAAATACTCTAAAAGACAAAACAAGCAACTAAAACTTATAATTAAATTCAAAATGTTCAAACCAATTTCACAAAATTTTCCAGTATATCCACTTTTACATAAACAATAAGGCGAAACAGATAAACCTGGTAAATTTCATAACAAGTACCATGATTAAGATATTGCACCTGTCGACAACTATTACTTGCTAAAATAATAATCAACAATCAATATTTGATTTTTTTTTAATATTTCATTAGTCAGTGTTTAATCAGATATATACCCCTGGAAAGTAAAAGCTGGACATGGTATTTCGAATCTATTGACGCTTGAGAAGGACATTTTGGAAAACTTAATTATACCATTTGATAGCCCTTGGAATTCTCTATCACCCTGTCTATTTTTGTCTTCGTTTACAGTTAAACATTACCAAAATAAATTGAGTGCAATGAAGGTACCCTTATGCCCAGATTCTCACAGATTGGATTTTGTCTCCTCAACTAGTTCTCCAGCTATAAAAATACATTTCCGAAAAAGTAATTATATATTCTGATAGAACTTGAAATTCTCTATCAGCCCATATATTTATCTATTGCCTTATATTTGTTTGCTGAAAAATAATTTGAATACAATGAACGCCTCCTCAATTGCCAAGTATACAAAATCCGCATTTTTTCGTTGTTTTTTTAGTTTCTTTCGCAAATTATTTTCGTATAGGAATAACTTTTTCCAAAAAAAAATTTTACATTCTGATAGAGCTTGACATTCTCTATCATCATATATATTAATATATTGTCTTGAATTTAAGTAGCGAGAAAAATTGCAGATTTTTCATACTTGTCGATTGAGGGACCGTTCATTCTATTCAAATTATTTTTCAATAAACAAATATAAGGCAATAGATAAATATATGGGCTGATAGAGAATTTCAAGCTCTATCAGAATGTATAATTACTTTTAAAAAAGATAACACCATAGTGATAGAAAAATCTGAAAGACTAATTTTGATGGCAGAGAAAAAATCCAGTCTGTGAGAATCTGGACATAAGGGTACCTTCATTGCACTCAATTTATTTTGGTAATGTTTAACTGTAAACGAAGACAAAAATAGACAGGGTGATAGAGAATTCCAAGGGCTATCAAGTGGTATAATTAAGTTTTCCAAAATGT